TTGAGCCGGTGAGATTAGAACCGCTGAACTGCAGATAACAGTTAGCTGAAGTGGCCTGCAGTACTGTACCCTAACCACTGCGCCACCTCGGCTCTTCGAGCTTGGAGACCAGAGCCCAATTCATACAGGAAAGTATGCATTACATCTTGTCTTTACCTCAGAGCAATTGGAACAAATTTGACGGGGGGGGGGACGGGGGGACGGGGGGACGGGACGGGGCATTTCCATCAAACTTTTGTCATGATCAGATCACTTCCTAGTCACTGTGATACTACAGGTAGTCCTCGTTTAGCAACAATTCACAGGGGGGTGAAAAAGCAACTTTACAACCAATCCTCACATTTACAACCTTCACAGGTATATGAAGCAAAGGAAAACTGAAGATCGTAAGTTCAGCTGTGGCTTCCCTTAGCAATTGCTTCCCTTAGTGACTGAGTTGTCAGTCCCAATTGTGGTCGCTAAATGAGAACTACCTGTAGTCAGTTCTGATGACTTCCAGAGGGCAGAAAAATACCAATTAGGACTTTTGATTTTAGGCACCTCATAAATTCGATTACATTTAAGAATTTTCCCAGTGCTCTGGGGGTCAATTTTATCATAATCATGATAAAATGTTTGCTTATGGATTGTTGTAGTAATCTCTGGAATTGCCCCAGAATTGAGTCAGAAATGATTCTTCTTAGTAATCAATCTAAGGGGTCTTCTTTATTTTCTAAGGAACTCTGGGAAATGAATTGTCAGAAAAGAAAAGGAGGATTGAATTTAATTGAACATGTCACAAGCACAGTTTGAGCTTGGATGTATTAGGAGCGAAGGATCATTTTTAATAATTATGGAAGATACTATAATGGATATTTTAACATTATTTTATAATGTAGTGAGCCACCCAGAACCATATCCCATATGCAAACAAAGACATATATTATATCTGTACATGAAGAAAGTTGATAGCATACAAACCTTTTGCTTGGTGTGAAATGGTGATTTCACTTTCAGCCAGGTTGACATACACATCATAAAGATCTATCCTGTTGTTCACGTCTGAATCTATACATCCAGCAATGTACCCTAAGGGGAAAATATTTTAGTATGTTTCAGTAAAAGCATTCTCACTAGAAGTACTTTAATATGAGGTCCTTGGTGGTCTCTGAGTTTGGATGTTTTCTTGCAGACGTTTTAATTACCAAACTAGATACCATCATCAGTGCTAGTAGAGAGTGAGTTTTGCTCTCATTTTATATACTAGTGACTTGGCCTCTCAGTATTGGTGGGCATGGCCTTGGAGATGCCTTCATTGGGATATTGTTTGCTTCTGGATTGTTGTAGTAATGTTAACCTTTGTGTTAATTTCTGCTCATCTGGGTGTTGAGGAGGTCTTTTGGTCTTGTTTTTGGCTTTTTGATTATCTCTTTTGAATGGTATGTTGATATTTTTCTCTATGGGCCTGTTGATGGTTGATTTGTGGGACTCAAACCAAAAGACCACCTCATCAGCAATGAAACCCTAGATAAACAGAGATTAACACTATATCAACAATCAATAACAATAACAAGGAACTACCAAAGCAGACAAACAAGTCAATCAAGGAACCACCAAGAACACTCCCACCAACTCTTAACAGGGCAAGTATATAAAATGGGAGCAAACCACACTCCCTACTAGCACTGATGATATTATATTTAGTAATAAAACATCCCAGAGTTCAATTACTTTTAAGAATTTTCCCAGTGCTCTGGGGGTCAATTTTTAAATTACAGCCGTCAAGACCTGGCTTTTCCAGCAGGCCTGGGGCTGATGAGTTCCCAGCCCCACTTGAATTGTTGCGATTGTTGTGTGGTTTTTAATCTGTTTCTTGTATCTTGTTTTTGTCTTGTNGATGGGCTTTCGAATGGTGTATGAATTATTTGTGTTGTTATTACAAGTGTTGCTGTGACCCCCTAGGAAAAGGTTATGCCCCGCCCTGTACTCTTGAGATGTATCAGACTATGTTAGATCAGTATAAGTTTGGTAAAAATAATAAAGGTGGGATACAAATAAATAGTAGTAAACCAAGTCCTATACTCTTCTGAGAAGGAATACTATTGGAATAGCTAGCTTCATGCAATTTCATATTACTGCTACTGTTCTGAATGTTGTCAATATATGAATCACACATACAATCACACAATGTCTAGTTTTATGCATAGCATTTGAAATGTGTTAGATGGTACGTTGCTCAAACTCAAACCACTGTAATTTTTTAATTAGCAATTTAGAACACTGCATGTACCCTGCCAATTGTGGCTTATCAAAAGAGACATGTAAACAAATAATGGCAAATATGATGCATGAATTCAAATGATCTCTATATACAAGCTTAATTGATAGATAGATATGCAGCTTTCTGATAAGGCTGTTTTTCAGTGCTATTTGAAGATGCCATAGACTACAAATATATGTGGTATATAGCAGTGTTTCTCAACCTTGGCAACTTGAAGATGTCTGGACTTCAACTCCCAGAATTCCCCAGCCAGCATTCTGGGAATTGAAGTCCAGGCATCTTCAAGTTGCCAAGGTTGAGAAACACTGCTATATAGTACCCAGTATTTGTTCATCATGAAAAAGTGGGCTAAGGTGCCACGAGTAATGCATAAAGGTAGTCCATTCATTTAGCGGCTGTTCAAAGTTACAATATTAACTGCACAAATGGTATTTACATTGGCTTTCTGAGTTCTGACTGTTATAGCATCCTTGCAGTCATGTGAGTATAATTTCTGATGTTCCCTGCTGGTTTCCCACAAGTAAAGTCAATGGGGAGACTGGCAGGAAGTTGGAAGTCATAGTCAAGTGAGGTCTTCACACTTAATGACCTGCATGGCCATCACTAAACAATGGAATTGGGACTGTCAGAATTTCTGTTGCTAAGTGACACAGCCTTGTGACATCACACCTTACAATGATGCTGCTTGCAACAGCAATTCTAGTCCCAATTGCTACTGTCCCAGTAGACAGGGGCTATCTGTATAGTTAAAAGAGAATGAAATAAATTATCAAATGCAGAGACCTGTGTTTATAACTATGTGTTTGGCTGTAATCATCTGAGAAGCTGAGAGGTCAAGATGATAAGCAGGAAAATAATGCAAAAAGAGTGAGGCTGTATAATGCACATGGCAGCCGCGCGAGCAATATTGGGTGTACCTAGATACACCCATGTTACACCTATCCTCCGCGAGCTGCACTGGCTTCC